TTCGAATCACGGCATGGGTCAGATATATTTTCCATTCCACGTCTTCCAGACCGGTTCTGGGTCCCATTCAACCTCTTAACCAATGGCCATCAGGTCCCTTTATTTAGGGGTAAAGCCGACGTCAAGAATATATGAACATATACATCCACTCCCCCATAAATCTTCTTGGCGTAATTAGTTAAGCACAGGTGAAACTTTACTTTGTGCCCCAGATTTTTTCTTTCGCATTACAGTCCCAGTGGGCCTAGGCCTACCTCCATGAACTTCTCCGTTCACTTCGGTTTTTCTAGATGTTAGACGGTAGGACTCCTTGGACGGGTGATCAGCTCGTCGCAAGGCCTCTACCTGTACACGAACACAGAAAAACGCACACACACAAACTAAACATCCATGCCCTGAGTGGGATTCGAACCCAGATCCCGGTTTCCAAGCAAGCGAGGACAGTACATGCCTTGTCCCAGGTTTACGTGCATGAAATCAAGTTACAGTATTATTTATAAGCCTATTTTGAAAGCAAATTTGCTAGTCTCTAATGTTTGTGACGTCAGGTGATACAAAAATGCCAGGTTTGTATTTTTGAAGTCCGCAGTTACTTTGCATTTACATCATAGCTGCCACATGTTAAGGAAAACGTGTCACATCACTTGTCACTTGCCAGTCATACAGTGCAGCCAGATGGAGGCTAGCCCACTTCACCTGCGATCCGTCAGAATTTCATATTGAATATGTGATTTCTACACAATGGAAAGACAGTCTTATCACGTAATTATGATAAATGAATCGTTTATTTTGCTTCTGTAATTCCCCAAAGAACGTCCTAAAACTAAAAATTAATATAAATCTCTTAACGACACTTTCTGAAAAGGCTGGTATCAATGTTTAGCTCCGTCATGAGTAACAACACATCACTGCTCAAGCACGTGAAATTAGGCATAACCTTTTGCATTTATTTATAGTTATTTATTGATTCTCTCAGTAACCCTTCAAATAGTTTCATGACTGTGAATGAACCACGCAGGGCAAAGAACCGCATAATGCAAACAGCACAAATTAACCTTTGGCTCCCGACAACATGAAAAAAGAGGGATCTGTTCTCTAGGAAAATGGTAATATTACGATACTAACACGGCGATCCAATGCAGCAAACAGTAAAAGAAATTTGACGAAACCTATGAGTGGTCTACTGCAGTAATAAACACGAAGCTACTCACAGCTTTCAACGTTTTGAAAGATCATATTTAAATTATTTTAAATGTCAAATTATGGATTTAGGATCACCTAATCATTAAATTAATTGTAACCTATTGTTATGTATACGACTTTATCTCATTAAGGATTTTTATTCTTATTCTTATTTTATTGTTAATTTTAACCAAAGTCTAGTCTAACTTTTGTCTAGATTTTGAACTGAATAGAAACTAACTTGGGCGAACCATTTATAAAAATAGGAATGTTAGCTTTGGAGTTCGATAATAGGATGTGTAAAAATTTTAGAACCTTAAGGTGACCCATTTGAAGTCGAAATATGTAGTGCGTGCTATACAACTAAATAAACAATAAGGTGGTGTTGCTTTGACGGTAAAAAATATATATGTTCAGTGATTAATGAACTGAAATGGATGTGAAAGGAAGGGTTCATAGCCAAATTTAAGATACTATCTCGGCGTTTGGTGGAACTCAGGAAACCCACGAATGACATAATAACTTATGTCATAGTCAAGAATAGAACTGAATTCCTACGGAATACAAGTGGCATTTGGATATAATTTTCACATTTAAATTTCCGCAAGGCGCGAAGTGACGAGGTTATATTCAATACCTAGGCATATTAATCATCGTTCCCAACATTACACTGTTGGTCACTAGGGAAAAGCTGCTCACTTGTAAAGTATTTAATTAATAATTTTTGCTAGTCATTTGAAGGGAAGCAGTTTCATGGACTATTTTTGAAGAGCCCTTTACTATAATATTTTCCTACAAGTTTCCTCTTATTTCCTGTTATTGTTTACACGTTCTTGGTATAGGTTCGATCTAAATCAAACTTTTTATTAAAATGAGGATTGCGTTTTTCACTTAGGAGTACGTATATTTTTAATGCTCTCTGATTACATCATTACCCTCGATACAGAGACAAAGTGGATATACAGTAGATTAAGGAATATAGTTATTCCTTGTTCAGTGCTAATTACAGTATAGATTTCATATTGCATATATTCATAAACTATTTTTACTTTTACATAGTGTAAATTTAAGAAATCTTAGATAAAAATGTTGTAGAATTTTATTTATATCACCCTCTTGTGGTAAGTTACTGAGAAAACTGGCGAAGTTCGATTTCCGATCCCTGTAAATTACAGGCAGCTTTGGGGGTAGACAAGAATAAAAACCAATTCCCAATTACTAACGCAGACATGGAGTAAGGAATGTAAGCGCATTCCGCAAATAGTTTTGGGAATAAAACTTCCGGACGGGCAGAAAACCGGCAGACACAAGTCTCCCGTTAGACATTATTTACGAAAAAAATATGTAAAATGATCACATATTAATTGTTGCAGAATCGTATCTGTGCCTAGGTTTTGTCGGTTTGAAACACGCAGATGCTGGAATTTAAATGCACAATTTAGTTTCACTTTGCTTAAATATTTGCCAAAATTTTAGAGTGACTATGGACAGGTTTTGGGTTGATGATGGGCTTTATTGAATTCTTTGACATCGCGAGTGACTGAACTTTACATTTCACTATCATACACACACACACACACACACACACAGAGTCAAGTCTTTAGTAGCCGTTGCTCGGTAACGGGTTCCAACCCCCAACCTTCCCCTTCCTCTTAGTTCCCGAACTTCCCGACTTCAGCTACCGGCTTCTGTACAGCAGCAGCTCACAACGACTGAACCTCAGCATTTATCTAACTCAATGAGTCACTCACCAAGCGACTCTTTTCACTAACTCCACTCAACTGAACACGACTCTCACTAACTGTAATGCTGTTCTGCTCTTCTTATGCAGTTGCCTCGGATTCTAGGTTATAGCGAGCAGCAGATTCCATAATCACAACAACCTGTACACCTGAAGATGGCAGGCTAGACCGAAACATGTAATGTCAATAAAGAGAAATCAAGGGGACAATGTTATAGCGCATTTTTCAGAGCATTGCTAGGCAACGACTCGATAAACACTTTTATTGCAACAATATAAAGATGTCCATCTCTAGGCCACGCCCGAAATACACGAACGCAACAATAAGAAGACTATTGCTAGGCAGCAGCCAGCGCGCCAATGGACTAGCTAACTGGCGATCACGTGGTAACCCCAAGAGAAGGGTCACGCAACAATGGAGGAAGCTATGATTTTTGTGCACTGGTCCTGGCGGCGGCTATATAACGCGAGTCCACTTGCATCTACAGTCCATTCGCGGAGACGAGAGAGTCCTCGTAAACAAATGCACGCGGTATCTCCTTCGCTCTTTGAATGAAATCATGCAGCGATCACGTGATGCGTGTATCGTTGTAGGGGCGTCCAAAGTTCACTCTTCAGTCTGAATGCAGGTTAACGTGCGTCCGAATGCAGTGAGTACACTGAGTAACTGCGCGCTTTGTCCACTCCTTGTTGTCAGCTGTGGCGACTCGGGGGTTGCTTTGTTTATGCTAACTGTCTCGTCTCCGCGAATGGACTATATTTCAGTAAAATCCCGTGTGAAGGCGAGCCGAATAACTCCACTGTGACCCTGCGAGTCATAGGAGACGACGAAAAAGGAAAATTTCAAATATGAGACAGTAAAATATGGTCGCGAGTCTCAAGGGACTCGGACCCCAGAAAGACTTTGCTGGAAAGGGCCGGAAAAATATACAAAAGGCAGACCTGTCCTATCGTTAGAAAGGACGGCCCACAAAAAAAATACATATCTGCCAAACAGTAATAAATATCTGGCCATGAGCTCCAGAAGGAGCTCGACATCAAGACTTACTGACTGACCGTCAGTCGAAATGTGACTTTGACTTTGACTTTGCTAGTTCAGTTGAGAGTTCAGTTTTGTACGGGCGACTGTGAAGTGAAGATTTTATGTGTAATATTTAGAGTGTGTAATTCAGTAAAAACATTGTCAAGGCTTATCCACTGTTTAGATCTCTTACCTAGCCACGACTATTGCAAGCAGATATAAAATATATTATTTATGTGTTATAATTGCAGTAATCTGAAGAGTGTTAAAATTAATTGTAGTTATGAACTGTAAGTGGTCAACAAATCCAATTACCTATCCGAATACCGTCTTTAGTCACGGCTATATTTTGCACATAGACGGCATAAAGGGGGAACACAAAGTCAGATCTACGCAGTGCAATAGGATGCTACAATGTAATGTTAAATAATAGGACTTGTAGTACGAAAATTTAGCATCTCATATGACAGTGAAATATATTGGAATCGTGGCTTTTGTTGGAGACAATTCTGATGTGCTGAACAGCTAACAAAATACGTTACATTTGTAAGGGATACAATTTCCAACTTTAGGTGTCAAGTTCTAAACTTGTTTCCAGATATTGTGCGTCTTGTATTAAAATTGTTATGGTTCCGGCCAGTTCCTCCTAATTCTAGGACAATATCTTGAGTTTTCCAGCTAAGGAGTTTCAGAAAGTTGCTGCTGAAAGGGCAATCTAAGGGCATGCGCTATGAAGTGTATATAGACAGACATATAGGTAGGAAGACAGACAGATAGGGGATTGACTTTCTTAGTAAAGTGATCGTTCAACTAGTAATTTTATCGGGCCATAAATCAGCGAGTTGGTTGCTTTGCTCATTAAATTAAGTGATCTCACCCTTCTAGAACTCACGTGCTTATGACAACAAACACTGCTGCCTTCAATGAAAGTGCATTACTTGTTCGAGTGGGTTGTGGGTAGGTAAATTTGCTGTTAGCCGAGTTAAACATTTGCAAATCAAGTAGTTCTGTTAAAAGGTTGTCTCGACCTCAGCGTGTAATTATACAGTAACTTACCTCTGATTGACCTTTTGCTCCACGCAGCTGACAATCTGTTCCATTTAGCATCTGCACGTTTGCCACAAAGTCCTTTCAGTTTTTCCAGCCAGGATCTCGTTTTCCCCAGGAACCTGTTAACAGTTAACAAGATTTTCTCTACTGAAATTGGAAATAGTATTTATATTGAGGCTAATGTTACTCATTTTGAAGCATTTTGGTCTATCTCTCAGGATAAAAAGAATCCTTTGGTGAAAGTCAATTTGATTTCTCTGTTTGCTTTATTTGGGTAAAATTAAATATGTCCCTGTGCGTAACTACGTGTAATTAAGCACTACGCCACGAAGGCGCATGTGGAGTGGATATATAGATCCACATTTTCTTGACCTCGGCACTAGTTGGAGGTAAGTAATCAGCTTCATGCCCCTGTCGCTTTACCCCCGAGGTAGGAGCCCTCATTACCCATTGTATAGGAGGCTGGGTGGATCTCAGAGCCGGTCTGGACGACATGAAGAAGTGAAAATTCTTGTTCCACCGGGACTCCAACTCCGGCTCCTCCGTCTTTCAGCCTGTAGACAGTCGTTATACCGACTGAGCTATCCAGGCTTCTTGCAGTTATTCTGACAGTTATGAATATTATGTTTGTCTGTTTCAGGGCGGATGGGGTAAGAGAGGATGGGACAAGTTCCACGGATCGTGGGGCAAACGTGACTCCAACCTTGACGTCGACAAGAGCAGCCTGGAGGACTACCTGGCAACAGAGGATCTAGCTGAAGATGAGGACAATGAGGATATTAAGAGAGCCTGGAGCTCGTTGAAAGGAGGCTGGGGTAAACGGGCCGCAGACTGGGTTAATTTTAGAGGTCAGTTCTCTTCCCTCCATATCAGTGGCCGTCATAAACTAACATGAAATTCCTCCACAACGCGTAGGCTTAATGCACAAACTTACAAAGTAATACCAAATGTCTCAGAATGTTTCTCGTAAATTAAACAAGCGGAGGAGAGACAGGCAGAAGATATGTCATCTTAAATATGCCTTCAATGTAGGCTATTGGCTGCAAATACCCGACATTTCTAGAGTTCCATTTCTATCGAACACAGCAAACTAACACACATATTTTTACAGACTTTTCTTCGCTGACCCATGTAATAATCGAAAGCATATCAGATCCCTGAAGAAATGCAATTCTTAATCATGTTATTCGAGACAGAGATAGCTTAATCACGAAAGCTGTATTGATTTATTTTTATTGTGTTGTGTCACGACCTCTCTGTAACAGGTCATGAAGGCCCATAGGGTTGTGAGACGTCGAGGCTCTCACATATTCTCTAGACAATCTGCTCATAGATGGCGGTAAGGTTGTCAATCTTATGCGCCAGCCGCTCTTTACCCCCAGAAAGATTCCTGGTACTCATTTCTGTTAGAGGCTGAGTCGACACCAGGGCCATAGTGCGGCTGGAAGGTTTAGGTCGATTGAAAGAAACACCTCATAGAGACTAGAACCTTCCGGCTTATAGCATAGTGCCTCAACCAACTACGCTACCGCGTACCCCTATTTTGCTTAGCGTAATGATTTTAAAGGAGCCGTCCATCCAGTTAGCAACTGAATCTGACACTACAGCTCACTAGAAAGGTAATGTTACATGAAATTTTCTTCTATTTCCCATCCAACAACCGCAAACACATCACATTCTTTAGGAAATGCAATTGGAAATAATCCTATTGAAGGTGGCGATAGGTTACTCCTGAAAGTGTTCTCAGTTACTTTCATTTTACTTACAGTGACTAATTCGTTGAATGCCTGTAGTCTTTTCGTATTTATAATGTATGCCTACACAACAATTTATAAAATATCAATTACTGCTCGTAATGCACTTTGACTTGAAAGCTTCCTATTATTATTATTACTGTCATTACATATTGCTTCTCATTGCATCATGGTCGGCGCGGTTGCAGTAATTGAATTATTGTTATCTGAATGATGTATGTTGCCTTGTTTGTCTTTTCTTTGAGCGCAGGTTCTTATTATTATGTATATTTCTCGTTCGTCCTTTAAAATTAACTTTTGGCGTATTCAGTAAATACGTAAAAAATAAATAACTTAAATTATAAAACAATGGAGATTATTTTAATTCTTTGTAGGACAACTTAAACCCTTAATCTTCTCGTGTTCTTACCTTAGGGGATTTTAGTATTCCTGGTTATGATGTGATTAATAATATTTCCAAAGCGAAATCACATTATTAGGCTAAAATGAGAGGCAACATTATTAGTAAAGCTGTTTGTTAATTGGGTCTTTATTAATTCAACTGCACTGTTTAAAGAGTAAACTCTAAATCTTGAATTTGAAAATTTTCCGACTTTTGAGTTTCTAATTCTATGATTCACTAACCTCGCCGCATGCGACGGTCGCTCTGTCGGTATAGTTCGCTTGCGGACTAAAGCCAACGAGTTGAGTTTTTTCTTTTTTGTATCATTGAATTCTCACTTCCGATAATTGTCAAACTTGCCTGATATTAAACTAAGTTTACTCAATGTGACACCTCTGCACGTTCCTGGTTAATTTCGTAAACATGCACGTGGTGATTTTGCTGTGCTCTTCGAAATCTGATCGTCCAATGGCTACTCTTGTGTGTATGAGCTGCCTCCTACTGACGCTATAGTTAACCAGCCGGCATCAGTCGTTACTGGCGCCCTAAATCAAGGCGCTCCTTATTATACCTGTACTAGGGAACCGAATTTTGGACGCTGTTGTTCAGCACTCTGAAATATTACATTAATAAAAATGTCAACATTCTCATTGCTATAAAAATCCGACGCGAATTATGACACTTTTTCGTACTTTCATAAACTTGTCAATATTACTATTAAGTTTTAAATTGCTTTCGTTAAAGTCAGGTCACTACATGATTAAAGCTCAACCTAATCGCTTTTGGAAATGTCTTCCTAGCGTTAAAAGGAAAAAAAAAATAGATTTAATCAGTTCAAAATAGGTGATCAGATTGTGAAAGGATCTAAAAGAATCGCAGATGTGTTTGTTAATTACTTTAAATACGCTCAGATTTACTGGGTTTCTGGGACTTTGTCCGTCCTCCAATATTCTAAAGTACAGAGAGCACAACGTTTGGGAAATTGGGTCTGTTTCCGTCTTCAGGTGAGAGGGGATACATACTCTGTTTGGTCCCTTAGAAAAATCTATCCTCAGTTACTGACCACCTCTTTCTAAGGGACACAACAGAGTAGGTGTGTTCCCCCTCACGCGAGGACGGAACGAGATCCAGTTTCCGAAATGTCGTGTTCACTATTTTTTTTTAGAGTAACGGACGATGGAGGAGGAAGGCCAAAATCCCCCCTAATTCTCTGTGTTACACATCATCGCCAGAACCATTCAGAATCTACTTGAAACCATTTTGCAACACAACTTCTCTGACACCACTTCTTCAGAATCTGTATCATCAAACTTCTTATGTACAGCTCCTGTTTCTGCTGCTGATTTTGGTAATAATTTTAATGTCTCCAAGTATGTGTGTGTGTGTGTGTGTGTGTGTGTGTGTGTGTGTGTGTGTGTGTGCGTGCGCGCGCCCGGTGGAATCCATCTTCCATAATTAGAATATGCTCTCTTATCTGTATTCCATTGCTGACTTACGCTCTTAGCCTATTTTCCTTATTTTGATAAAATAAAATTAGGCTTATGCGATCATCATACTGTCTGCATGTCTGTGTTAACATCAGAGTTTATTAAGGAGACGACGTCTGTTGTAGTTCCAGTTTTAAAAAAGCTAGCAGCATTTTGAGTAAGAAATATAGACCTATCTGTTGTCCTAATTAATTTTTCAAATTTTTCATCTACAATGATCACGTATGTATTTTTTATCATAAGCTTAAACTTTCAAAGGGTTGTTCCCTTAAGCTTACTTCCACTTCCACTGATTTGATTACCTGCAGTTGCACTCCTTTACACTAAGTGAGTACTTAAAGTCAGTTTACTTAGACTTGAGTAATGCCAATGAAACGGTTCCTTATTTTTTGCATCTTTGTAAACTCAGAAATTCTTAACTTTCCGCATGTTACATTAGTTGGATTCATTACTACTTGGCCAACAGACACGAATTGGTGCGTAACTTTGGTACCATTTCTTCTCATTAAGCTATAAAGTTCGGTTTTCTCTTTAAGGTCCTTGTGTTCCAGGATAATATTAGGCCGGATCTTAGAAAAATAGGATGGAGTGGTATGGACGGGATCATTCTGGCTCTGGATAGGGATCAGTAACCGACACTTGTGAAAACGGTAATTCATTTTCGGATTCAAGAGAATGTTGGAAATTTCTTCAGTAGCTGAGAAAGTGGTGCCTTCTCAAGGACACAGCTCCGTAGAATTACTTAGTTAGCTACCTATTTAATAGTTTTATTGATGATATTAGTGTACCCTTTCATATCTCCAACTCTCTAGTATTCAGACCATCTTAAAATGCATAACATTATCAAGAATTTTGGGTTATGAAAACTTTTGCAGCTTGAAACTTTTCAGACTTCTATGTTCGTATAATAGTGTAAAATTAAATAATTATGAAACTACAGTTATTTGCTTTACTCGTAAAGCTACCCTTACTACCTTTCATTATAAATTATGTAACGAACTAGGTGCATGCCCCTTACGTTAAAGACCTTGGAATTTCGTTGAGCTGTAAGCTTTATTTTCACCGTTATGTTGATATTGTTTTAAAAAGCTTAAAAATGTGAGGTTTTACTTGTTACAGTGCAACTTCCCTTTCTACTGGCGACAGCCTTATCATGTTAATATTCTGGTTTTACTTTCACGGTTTCTAAAATACTAATTACTTGCGATATATCATCAAGGAAATGGTTAAGCATTATGAAGAGTATTAAATTACCAGATATGACATCTTATAGTGGGTTAGAAGTTTACTGACGTTTCGGAAGAATATACTGACTCCTTCAGAGAAGAAGATTAACTAGAAAAATAAGCTTGCTCTGCTAACTACGAATATTTTTATTATTTGATATAATGTATTATCAGCCCGTCACGGTAGCCGAGCGGTCTAAGGCATGCACTGTCTTCGCTCGCTCGGAATCCGGGATCGTGGGTTCGAATCCCACTCAGGGCATGGATGTTTGTGTGCGTTTTTCTGTGTTTGTGTACAGGTATAGGCCTTGCGACGAGCTGATCACTCGCCCAAGGAGTCCTACCGAGTGTGTAAGATATAGCAAACCGAAGTGAAACGGAGAGTTTCATGGAGGTAGGCCTAGGCCCAAATTGGGGCTGTAGTGCCACAGAAAAAAAAATGTATTATCGTGGTACGGAAATATGAGTGCTAAATGTTTACAGAATTGAAGTTTGCTCCTTCTTTTTCCTCACTGTCATACTATGACAAAATGTTGGGCTCTTTTACGATTACCTCGAATTCTGGGGTAAGTGCGGGTTTGCGACCATTTCCATTTCTTCTTCAATTTGTTTAAATTAAACACGTAAATTTGCTAAAAGTTATTTAGTTTAAATCTAGGGAATTTATTTAAAGATGTTTCTTTATGTCCAGTCATTATTCATATTTCATTGAAAGTTATTATTACAAAATCAGTTCATCCTAGGTCGCCCCACCTTATTATTATTATTATTATTATTATTATTATGTTGTCTTTCTCAAATGCTCAAACGTCATCGCGTTTTCAGACGGTTCGGTGAAACTGTATAATTACGATTTTCATTTCCACAATAAAAATGGATGTATAGTTTACTTAGTACTTTATATGCCGATCATAGTGAACTCGCGGTCTCATGCATGAACTGTCTTGGCCCGCTGAAACACCGGGATTATGGGTTCGAATCCTGCTCGAGGCATCGATGTATGTGTGCGTTTTATTCTGTTTTTGTGTCCGTGTGCAGATAGCGGCCTTGAGACGGGCTGATCCCCCGTCCAAGGAGTCCTACCGACTGTGTACAGGATGAAGAAACTAAAAAAGCAGCCAAGGTCCAACAAAGAGTTGCACAGCCATAGACAGATATAATATTTTATATAAACATTCTGCAGAAATCTCAATAATGTAATAAATTCTAGAAAATTCTATATTATTTCCCCTCTAATCAGAAACGCCAGAAACCAATTGTAGTGTCTCAAATTTGGGATTGGGAATTTAAGTCATTACCTAAGTGTCTGGAGACTTGCGAAAAGTGTTTTGCAGTGAAAGAGCAAAGATGACAACACCTGGACAGGCAACTAGGGTAAGAATGTTGAGGATCAGCATTCATGCGTAATCGCCCTAGCAAGAAGCTTGCCTCACTCGGCCACTGAAGGTAATGATGTTATTAATTACGCAGCGATGAGACGCCATAGGCCCTCCCACAACCACCGATAATAACCAATTAGAACATAACTTTAGGAATTTAGAACACAAGGGAGGAGTTAACTACCCTCTGTCGTCAACAGCTGAATTAGCAAATTAAAACTATAAATTACTGAATTTCGAGGGACTTGGGATTCTGATCTAACAGATAATATTGCGTTGTCAGCCGAAGGCTCTCTTCAACATGGGCCTTACGAGCGGAGGCGGTGAGCCTGCATCTTGTACTACAAGTAAGTTTCTTTACGCATAACAGCCATGTTGTTTAAGAGTATTGTTGATAACAGTGTTGTTGAGTGAGATTTGAATGTGCAAACTCCAGTGTGCCCGGCGAGCCCTTAGGGGAGGATACGAGAATTATGTAATTGCCTAGGATGTTAGTCAGGCAAGAAGGGTATAGTGTATGTGTCAAGGTTATGGTTAGCGTGTAGGATAAATATAGTATGTGGGTTTCATTCTGTATAACTAAGGGTAGATTATGTTAAGAGTGAACTTTACGAAAGATAGTGTAATCGTATCTAATGAATAGTAGGGAAACAGGATCCCATGGAACGATTAATACGTGTCTATAGTCGAAGAGAGAGAGAGAGAGACTCCAGTTTCACACCCCCGAGGGGGAGGTTCCTAGTGTAGCGTGAAGTGAAGCCTATGTAGACCCGACTGAAAGTCGGCCTTGTAAGAATGTAAATATTGTAAATCATGTAAATATATAAGAGTGTAAATAGACAGAGTAGATAGATAGGATAGGACGTACCGGGATTGTGATTCACACCGCATAATCACCTTCCTCGACCCATCCAGAAGATCCTACTCAAAATGAGAGTTGCAACAGCAGCCGAATGCTTAAGGGGAGGTGCTAGGAATAGACAGGGATAGGCTCCTGCCACACAGGCAGAGTTTAGTAGCCTTAATATCAACGCCCCCTTAAGATGTAGTAATAATGTAAGACGTTACTATCTGTAGACTACATGAGGAGTTGTCAAGAGGGAGCTATGACTATATGCCAGGGGGTAGTTCCCACAATTGAGAGGACATATAATAGATGGTGGCAGCTTTTTGAGAGAAGGAAACCCCGAAACAAGAGAATCCTGGCAGAGGGTGAGCTAGGAGTATTGTGTTAACTCCTTACAGCATAAGCTGGGATGGAAAGGAGGGGTACCTGCACACCCCCGTCGTCACGGCGTTACAGTGATACCAGCGTCGCGACATTACAAGTGGAGGCGAGGAGGGATACCTCCACGCCCCCCCCCTGCGCTCGATGTAACAGTGGTGGCAGAGGCGGGCTAACTCCACGCCCCCCTCCGCGGCGTAACACCAATACTTATCAGTAATTAATCGAGAAAATATATCGAATCTGCTTGTTATAGGCCACGACATTTATCTCCACTTCACACCATGCTCTGAATTATCGTAGCTCACGTGATCATACGTTAAATAAGCATTACAGTGTACACAGCGTCCTCAAAGACTTAAGAGACGCTTATCTACGGGACACTTAGTCCGTCAGTGGTTCAATAAGACAGTTCAGTAGGTTACTTCTGAGGGTGCTGGCCATTCAGTAACTCGCAAAGAAAAAGGAGATGAACGTTTGGCTTAAAGCAATGCAAAGAATCTTTCACTGAATATCAGCGTTTCAGGAGAGATTATGTAGTGTGTGTCCAGTAAGAAGTTAGTAAATCATTCGGCTTGTTAGCGAAGCAATCGCAGATTGTGTTGTCAGTGACCATTAAAATTCAAGTATAAAGGCGCGTCCACATTACTGGTGCTCGTGCTCGTAGGGAGACTCGTCTGGCTTTTACTTGTGCTCGTAAATTTTCGTCCACATTACTTCAGTTGCTCGCCAGGTTTCGGCGCGTGAGGATACGTTTATTTACTCATAGTGTGTGTAGGCTGTAGTCGTATTTTAATTTATTGGCTATAGTTTTTAAATTAAAAATTAAAAAATTTCTTGCCTCGTGACTTGTCATATCGTCCACATTACTCGCGAGCATAGCGAGTCGCACGAGCACGAACACGAGTAATGTGGACGCGCCTTAGGTTATAATTTCTTAAGAGACTACAGTTTATAGCGCATATTCTTAGATTACGGCCTGACACAGTTTAAACAGCTCGTTTTATCTCGCTTTGAATTATATAGGGGAGAATGAATGGAGGGTAGGTGAGGATTTTGAAGGAGGAGGGAGCAGTATATTTGAATATGTTATGCCTGAATTTGTCTAAAATATTTTGAAACCCCACTTATAAATTAAGGTAGGATAGCCAAAATTCGGGCTGAATAAATTACTAGTACGTAATGTAGATTAGTTACAGTCCCACGTGCAACACTATGTCCTACGAAATTTACTAACTTTAAAAGCTTAAAAGATCATCGTTTCACGTGTTGAAAAAAGCGGTAATTTTTTAATGCTAATGGGGTGGGACTAAGTCCCTTGTACTGCGGCCACTTCTGGCCTATTGTACCAGCCCCAGATGATAGGTGAGGGTGATTGTGGAGCGATTGGTGGAAAGAAGATTGGCAGGGGAAACCGAAGTACTCGGAAAAAACCTGCACCAGGGCCACTTTGTCCAACACAAATCCCACTTGACCAGACCCGGGATCGAACCCGGGCCGCAGCGGTGGGAAGCCAGCGACTAACCGCTTGAGCTATGGCGCTTCCAATGTGGTACATACATTTTATAGAATATATTGTTACACCCGAGACTGTAAAAAACTAATCGACACTAAGTGAAAAGTGCAACAGAATGCTACAATATAATATTACTGGTACGTAAACCTGGTTGGTATCGTTGTAAAGGAAGTTACGACCGTATTCGCTTAGGCTCTAACTTAGTTCATCAGTAAATGTTAAAACTACCCAACTCAGAAGAAAGCTCTTCTTTAATATACAAAGATATGTAAAAGATATTGGATAAAAATAAACAACTAAACGCAAATAAAGCAGGAGCTGGGATGGCGCAGTCGGTATAGCGACTGGCTACAGGCTGGACGATCGAGGGGACGGAGTTCGAGTCCCGGTAGGGTCAAGAATTTCCACATTTTCAATCGTCCAGGTCGGCTGTGGGGTGCACCCAACCTCCTATGCAATGGTACCTGGGGATCTTTCCAGGGGTAAAGAGGCCGGGAAGTGAAGCTGATCATTCACCTCCAACTAGTGCCGAGGCCAAGAATATTTGGATCTATTCATCCACTCCCCCATACGCCTTCATGTCGTAGTGTTTAATTAGTTACGCACAGGGACAACTTTAATTTTGCCCAAATAAAGCAAACAGAGAAATCAAATTGACTTCCACCAAAGGATTCTTTTTATCCTGAGAGAGAGACCAAAATGCTTCCAAATGAGTAATATTCGCCTCAATATAAATACTATTTCCAATTTCAATAGAGAAAATTTTGTTAACTGTCAACAGGTTCCTGGGGTAAACGAGATCCTGGCTGGAACAACCTGAAAGGGCTTTGGGGTAAACGTGCAGACACTAACTGGAACAGATTATCAGCTGCGTGGGGCAAAAGGTCACTCGGAGGTAAGTATAATTGCACACTGAGGTCGAGACAGTCTTTAAGTAGTTCCGCAAGCCTGTGAAACATGACGTCTTAGAGAATATTTGGGCCAAGTAAGGAATAAATAACAGAAGAATGGGAAACCGACTAATAGAAATCTTCATTATAAACCATCCGATACCGTGCAATAGGTGGGACAGCGAGGAAATGTACCATAGGGAGATAAAGTTGAGGAATGAAGTAATATCAGGTTTATCAGGATTTTTTTTTTCCTTGGAACTACAGCCCCAGTGGGCATAGGCCTACCTCCATGAACTTCTCCGTTCATTTCTCAGGATTATGCTTTTAAAAACACTATAATTAAATTTCGGATGCCATAAAAACAAGACATTTCTTGGACAGATGCGGTCAAATGGCTTGAGCTGATAACAGTTATGATTGTATATTTTGGTTACTTAAAAATTGGGATGATTCTCAAGAAATTTTTCCGATGAAACTACTCGTTACGCTGGCTGCTGTTTTCGAAGTGCACTTGATAATATTACGGGAAATGTCCTTACTGTCCCCAGTTGTTTACTTCTCCGTCGGAATTATTCTCGGATATAGATATCAAGCCGCTAATATTCAACGTATTTAAAGATCTACGTTGAGAGAAACATGGAAAATATCCATATTCATATTTTCTTGTCCTTGAATGAGAGATACAGATCAAAACATAATACCAGAATATTCACAACTGTACCAGGGAGAAATTGTGACCTCGTAATTCTCATTTCTAATAAATATATAATTCTAACAGTGCAAGGTCTACTCTGAGCAATCGACATTTGTCCAGAAGTTCGAAAGAAATTCCCAGCTGTTATCACATAGATAAGACATGGCTGAAAGTAGGAAATCTGTCACATTTTGAACAAATTCAATCTAATTCAAAATATCGAAACATTTTCGTTTATAATGGATTATTCACAATATGCTTCGAGCCTTCGACGTGACCTGTCTTCGTGAGGTTCTATAAACCAGATGTAACATGTATACATTCATTGTCCAGCACATCCAATCATACTTTAGCCTATTTTCCGAAGAGCACTACATGAATGCTAAAGGACATTTTGTGATTTCACTATCCTGACATTATCGTGAGGAGATCACGGAAAACGAATCTCTCATTTCTTAATTTTATTATCCTGAGAGTACCATATTTTTACGTGTCGGGGTACGCGTGACAAATTCAGCGTGTGTTCTCCCTTCAGACTGAGAATTCTGGTTCCCCACATACTTCTGTTTAAACCTGTCATGGCCGTTTGACTCACAGGTACTGGCGTCTGTATATCGCACACAGAGATATATCGAGTAAAGAATATCTCTCCGAACTGAGACAGAAGTTGTTTTATTTCGTTAACTATTTAATCAGAACCAAGAAGATCACAGTTAGAAGTGGATTCTCTTAAATGCTCTGACGATGTGTATAACACACAGAGTGACTGGGTTCTTTGACCTCCTCCATCGTCCGGTATTCTAGATAATAGAAAACATTTTCATTTCATGCATCCTGTTGTGTTACATATACAACCTCTTTATTACATCCCTCACAACACAACTAACAACAACATGTAGGAGGGCCGAAAATGGTCTGATCTTGATATTAGTTGTGTTGTAACGGATATAATAAAGAGGTTGAATAGAAAACACGACGTTTCGGAAACATATCCGGTTTCCTAAACGTCGTGTTTTCTATTCTCTAGAATACCGGACGATAGAGAAAGACCATAACCCAGTAATCACAATTTGAGTTGCAGATCGTAATGAACTCAGTGTCGTTAAGTATCGCTCAAATATATTTTGTTAAGGTTTTTGTATGAAATTTTGAGTTCGAACTGATTCTATTGGGTTGACAGTAACCAAAAGTAAATTCTTAAACAACATTTTCTCTGTTCCACTAGAATGACACTAAAAATAACTGGCAAGTCTCGTTATTCTGGACTTGCTATGCCTTCTCCGGTATTCCTTCGCAGCTCTGCATATTGTCAAGTGTATGAGTAACTATAGACGGGGTTTGGATTGGTAATGGGATTTATTGGCAGTTTACAGACTGTAACTTCAAGTAACTATAGTGCTATCGCTAATTCACACTCTGCAGTTTACTACAGCAAATACTATGTCACCTCAGTTTCTTTTCACTAGCAGTTTCCTGGTAAGGGACATTGTTAGGATCCCTTACCAGGAAACGGCTAGTGAAAACAAACTGAGAAGACATAATTTACGTCCTCATCTGCTGTTGAATGTCTCACAACTGACTAAACTCTAGACTTGTCTCGCTTATAGCCCCTCGGCAAGGACCGCATAGAAAACACCGTTCCTCTGTTACTGTTCTACTGTTACTTGTTTTGAATCTGTTGCCTAGAAACGGGTGTTGTTTATAGAGTGCTTAGCATCCGGTCTACATGCTGCAATAATCATACGTCGAAGCCGACGTTTAACATCATCATACACTAATAAGATGCCCAAATATTCAACCGTAAACTGCTTTCTTCATGTAGTATACTTCACTTCAAGTATTTATACCAAAACATTATAACCAATCACAGAAGACACACAACACACTTAAACGAAATACCGCTCCCGCCTTCTTGACCTACTTTGTAATTTACTTTCTTGCAACATATTAGCACTAGACAGTCTATTACTGCGGTATTCCGAAGTTGCGCAATTTCAGAATTTCCATCTCACCGTTTTATTTTTGTCTTATATGTTTACATATCACTCATGGAGCTGAGCCCTTCTCGAGAAGCCCCCAATTGTGCAGCTACTCAAGAACTTCCCAGCATTTTATGGAACCCGAAGGTTCATTACCGTGTTCACAAGAGCCCTCCTCTCGCCCCTATCCTGAGCCAGATCAATCCAATCAATTCCATACCATCCTTTCTCTCTCTCTCTCTCTCTCTCTAAGGTCCATTTTAATATTGTTCACCCACCTACTCCTTTGTCTTTCCAGTAGTCTCTTTCTTCTGGCTTTCCACCAATATCCTATATGCATTCCTGTTCTCCGCCATTCGTGCTATATATCCTACACATTTCATCCTCCTTGACTTGATCATTCTAATTATACTTGAAGCAGAGTACAAGTTATGAATATCCTCATTATGCAGTTTATGTGTTTACATATACGATAACGTTTCAAATTACGCCGTGACTGATTGCGATGAAGTCTTCAGAAAGAGTTTCAGAAACAGCGGATGTGAATTCCATAACAACAAGCCTAATCGACAGAGATGAGGTAATGAAACCTTACTGAAGATTACCAATAAAAAATATTCAGAAATTTCACTGATTTTACGTGCGGACAAATAGATGCGGTCTCCTGAGAAGCCTTCATTTCACTTACTTAATGCCAGGAACACGTAAAATCGACTCTTCCAGAGCAATTTTCCTTGGATCCAGGATAAACCCTATTGGAAATATATCAGCAGTTTTCTAGACATTTATCCAGGACACGAGACATTTTATTCCCAAATCCTACGTCTTGAAACAAATAGTGCATGAACACTTTGACAAGTTTATGTGCAGACCCATATTCCAAAGTGGCATTTCTCCTTACGACGTCATAGTCTTCTCTCTCACTCTCTCTCTCTCTGCAGCGTATAAGCAGAAAAGACAACGAAATAAATCAGTAATCATGAAATTATTCCTACAAAAAAGAATCACTCATGGAGCTGAGACCTTCTTGAGGAGCCGCCAATTGTGCAGCTACTCAAGAATTTCCCAAGATTTTACGGAACCCGAAGGTTCACAACCGTGTTAACAAGACCCCTTTACTGGTCCCTATCCTGAGCCAGCTCAATCCAATTCATACCATCGCGTCTTATATCTTTAGGATACATTTTCTTTCGCTTCGTTCGTTTATCCAAGGAATCCTTCCAGGTCCGAGGCTTTTTGTGATCTTTCGTAACAAGTACAATTTTTACGATGAGGAGTTTTTAGCACCACACCCAACCCCAAACTGGATGGCCACCCCTTGTCGGCTGTCCGCGACTCCTTATTCGATATATTCGTAGCTACCCTTCATACCTGGAGGTCGTCTCCTCCATTTGCAACTTGAGGACACGAACTTTCACGGTGACAAGGGACCCAACTGACATATTGTCCTGGATACAGCAGGAAAACAAGAAGCTATTAATACCATGTACACCCTGACGTTACAAATGAATCTACAAAAAATATTATTACAGATAAAAATCCATTCTTGCAGAATATTTACAGATATCTAACTACGCGAAGTGCATAGATTAAGAGATTATTCTTGCTTGTTCTGCCAATACAGAAGGATGTTTAAGTAAAATTTTAGAAGACATTTCTGTTCCTGCCATGTAAAAATATTTTTTTTTGTGGAATAAGTCCTTTTAAAAAAAGAAATAATTTTAATCTTAACTATGCTTTCTTAGGTGTTATACTGAAATAGAAAGAAAAAGGTATGAGCTTCACAATGTTTCATACACAAACCTCACAGTCCCATTAATAGAAACCAGTTCAGCTCTTTCGATAACGAATCCCCAACACACCACTTCGCGTGCACCTGTTTTCCTTGTGCAAAGAATGTACGAGATCATATCTCACAAGATGGCCCATGCTTTAGCCTGGGTGGCGACCCGGTTTCAGCATGATACAAGCCACACACGTTCTTTCTGATATGTGAAAGATGGATGATCTGCTTGAAACGGTATCCCAGTTTTCATTATACGACACACAAGAAGAAACGCATTCTAAATCCAGCTCCTGGATATGATAAGCCCACCACCCCACGAGTCATGGGACAGATCGTGTGGAACATGGTCGACACAATCCTAGTTGATCACTAAGGAAAATATTCTGATTTATCTTGATCTATTTTATCATGTCGCGTGAAAGATGAAACCATGTAGGTATAGTATACAGCTCATTGATGCGTCTTGCATGAGTGTCTCAGTCACTCGGTCAAGCAACCAAAAATAGGTCATTAATTTACAGCTTTTACGATGATTAAAATTTC